TAAGCAGTTAATAGTCTGAGAGGAAGTTGCAGACGAAGGAACTAATTAAAGTGGCGACATATTGAAATAATAATGATAAATGTATGGTAGTTAGTAAATTTATCACAGTTTTTGCGTTATTTGTACTAGTGCCAGTATTTCAGTTTATTGTTACAAGTTTGGGCTCTGTAACATTGCGAGGCCATCAAAAATAACAGATTTTCCAAATAAAAACTTTACATAAAACCTATTGTCGAATTCCAAGTCGTTTCAGAACATGGTACATGAAACATACAAAAATGAAATAAAAAATGGGTATTTTAACTTGAAACAATGAAGTTGATTGTGGTGACTTATTTTTGGGCCACCCTGAATGAATTTGGCATCAGAAAAACCGCAGCCAAAAATAAAATTCGACGTGTCCGAGCGTTTTTAAGATACATGGCATCGTTTTTTAAGTTTTACTAGAAAATCAGGCTTTTTTCGAAAAACATAAGAGAGGAATAATTTGTAGAAAATTGAAAGACGAAAATATCATGATTGTTACCGTAAAGCAGTGGCGTACTATTTTATTTAGAAAAATATGCCATCGATCCCATGTATCTCCGCCACTGGAGCATATAAATTTTAAGAAAAGCCCTCAGATTTTGGACAATGTTTACATAAATAGATGTGCCCAATTTCAAATTATTTCATTTAATAGTTTTTAAATTATTAAAAAAAAATTAAAAATATTTTTTGAAGTTTGTATCTTTTTAACGAAGCGTCCTAGATAAAAACTTTACAGGAAAAGCTCCCCTTAAAATTCACCAAATAATACGAGGTTCCATTTTTGGTCACCATTTGCAAATCACCCTGTATAATTTTTCTTGTATCGATACATAACAAAAGTTATTTCTCAACACATTTTTGTTTGTAATTGGATTACGTTTTGAAGTTTGAGTTTTTTTCAAATAAACAATAAGTACATCCAGAAAAAACAACCCAGTCTAACCTAACCTCTATTATACAGGGTGTTTCAGAAAGACCTCCCGTAAATTCAGGGGGTGATAGTACGACAAAAAAATAACAATTTTTTGTCTTATGAACTATATGTCTATCTCCTCATGTTTTCTAGATACAGAGCGACAAAATAAAATTTTTTAAATAGAATTGGAGCCCGAATGTTAAAAAACCTAACCTTAAAAAAATTAGAACTTAAAATGTATCTAATACGAATGTAGCATAACTAGCGCCCTCTATGAAATATCCAAAAAATAATTAGACCAGCGTATTTGGCGTCCTTAGAAACCCCGGAATCCCAAATTTCATAAAAATATTTAGCACCGTTTTGGAAACTTTCGTAAAAATTATATTTAAAAAATTTTGTCGCTCTGTATCTCGAAACCAAATGATATAGTTCATAGGACAAAAAATTCTTATTTTTTGTCGTACTATCACCCCCTGAATTTACGGGAGGTATTTCTGAAACACCCTGTATATTTCTATTTTTCTGTTCGCTATATTTTCAATTGGATGTTGATTTAGTTCAGGATATTTTTTTTAATTTGTTTATAACATAATTAAACAACCAATTTACCTGCACCCACTGTTTCACATTAACACAAGATTTCTCGGTATTTCTTTTTCTTGTGTTGTAATCATGGTGTAAATAAAGTGATAGTGTATCTAATAAAACCAATGGTATAGTATATAACCCTTGAATTTACCAGTTTATATCATATTAAAGTAAAGGTTCTAATGAAAGATTTTCGAGCATTTATCATTGATTTTTTCGTAAATTTCGTATTTTTTTTATAAACATTTGGTGTTCCCCTCTATTATTCTGCATTTCGCTGAAGTAGAATGAAAAATGTTTAAAATACTTCTGCATTGTTTGTACAGTCTACACAAAACTATCTTCTAAATAATTTCCAGTATTTATCAATGTTGAAAGTTTAAAGTAAATTGAAAACAAACTCTATCAGATGTCTAGTAACGACGATTGCCCTAAAATATGATGGTAATAGTGAACCAAAATGGAAGTCGGTGGAAGACAAACAAACAAATAAAAACTGTCAAAATGCAATGTCAGATAACGTCTGTCAAAAACACTGTGACAAAAGTAAAATCGGTTAACTTCAGAAATTAGAACGATCAGGTGTCAGATGAGTACCAATATTGCAGAAGATAGTAAAACAAGTTAAGTGTACAATATTTATGTTAATATTTACAATATTCAAACGAAGCGTTATGAAGATATTCCGTTCAGCACTTTACTATTCGGAATTATAAAAATACGGAATGAAAAGGAATACCGTTATATTTGTATCTGTAGCTGCTGTAGCAGTGGTAATAGTTGTTGTTAGTGTTGTCATTACGCGGTACATTTAATAAAAATTGTTAATCTTTAGGTTACATTTTATTTTTTTTAACAATTATCTTGCGGAGTTTGCGGTAAGTTTCTTTATTTATTTCATAGATTTGACAGTAGTATACTATGGATGGAACCAACGCCGACTTTCAGTGCATTGTATTGTTCCAACATGACTGCAATACTGCAAAAGCGGCAGCGATTTGCCCTAAGTCACGTAACCTAGGATACAAATCTCGCGACATTGACTTACAAAAAAACTATATCTGATTATGAAATTGACTCATTTTTGATAGCGACACAACAATTAAAAAAATTACTGTCCGATCTATATGTAAAATAAGCAATAACACTTAATGGATATAACAAATCACGCCTGATAAGCCTAAGTCGCGTGACGCCAGACTAGTTTCATCTCACTTTACATACATCCCTCTCTACATTACATGGAAAGTATACTGTCAAGTCGATGATTTATTTTATTTTATTATTTTTTTTCATGAATGGTAAAATTCCCGAAACAATAATATATACAAATACGTACGTATTTTGAAAATATCGTGATATAATACCTACATATTCTTGATTTCTAATAAATATACTGTTTTCATTTGAAGCAGCACAATCTAAACACGCATTCTTAACAATTGTGATACAATTAGTTTTATGTTTCAGTTTGGAAAAATAGGTTTTACACTTTTAAATTAGATTCAATTTGAGGTTATTATAACTGAAAGTTGTTTACGCGCGTTATTTTCGTGGGGGATTCTCAATTCACTGCGGCGTGATATTTTGGTAGTGTGTAACTCGAACCAGAATAGTTCGTCTCTCCATATAAATTGCAAAAGGTACAAGAATAGGAACATTTAGTCTCTGTCTGTCTCTGGTGTCACTCTTTGTTCGACTGCAACCTTAATTTAACCTACGAATTTATAAATAGAAAATCACAGACCGGCAGTAATGTATATTCGTTTCTTGTCTATAACGAAAACCCGTATGTCATATTTGTAATTCTAGTTTTAGCTCCCAGGCTACGAGATATAAAAAATGGTGCCATACGGTTATGGGAGGTTCCTGGTTGATCTAACTAACTTACTGTAGTGCAAAAATTAACAGTAACAAATATACAGAGGGTCAAAGATAAAAAAAATGTTTTTCCTCGATATTTTTTGACAGACCAAATTGGGTCTACGGGAGCTTATTGTGATGTAGAATTCAAATCTGAATTTACAAAACAAAGATTAAATATCAATTAAAACTGAGAACAAGAAGAGTAAGAAACTATTATTACGTGTTGATGCATTGTTGGTACCAAATATTTCATGTTCAGTGCATTTTCTGCATCGTTTTAAAAATTTTCTCTTCGCTTTTGAAAATTTCGGATGAAGATTCCGAATTGCATCTGCAGCAAATTTAAATACCGCGATACGACAAACTCCCGAATACTGATTTTGGTCCAAATATCTACTGTGTCAAAAAATAAACGACTTTTTCATCTTAGACCTCCCGTATGTCTGTTATTTTTAACTTCTGCACTACCAAAATCATCTTGAACTTTTAGTGTTGGATTTTAAAACGCGATTACATTTAAGAGTCGCATAAAAGCCCAAGCAATAACGGAAACATATTTGGAATTACAAGAGAACAAGAAACTATAAACAGTTAATTGTCGGTATGGTTTAATTTTCCCATTACAAGCACTAAATAGTTTCTACTTAAGCATTGTTTGTGTTACAACCATAGGCGCCATGTGGTGTTTCAAGAGGTCGAACTTGTCGAGGCTATGCCCTATGATATGTTTTTTAAAGTATCTGTGTAAATCACGAGATACTTCAATGTCACTTGAGATAAATCAGGGTACAATAAATAGTACAGATTTTTTTAATATGTAACTTTTAATAACGAAAACTGAACGTATTTCTTTTTAGGGCAGAAAAATGTGATTGCATCTAATAACAGAAATATTCTCAAAACAGCCTAGTCGATGCAGGTTTTTCATGTTTTTATCTAGGGATCATGTCAAAAATTACGAGTTTTTTTACAGTTTCCAGTGACAGTAATTAACTTATGTGCCATAAGAGTTACTTGAGGATTTCAGTAAAAAAAGTCTATCATTTTTTTACTTGCGTCACTACCTTTCATCTACCACTTACCTCACATGGTAAATGATCGTTAAAAAGTTGTAAGAAAGTTTTAAAATATAGAAACTTCGTATCTCTGATGGCAACAGATAAGAAACGGAGTATCAGCCGTAGAATTATAGACATTTCTGTAATACAGTAAATTCCGTACCTACGCCTATGGTTTCCTTCCATCAGCATTTCCGCCTATATGTCACAGTTTTATGATCTATTTTATTTCCAACCTTTAAAACAACAATCGAGCAAACATAATTTCAGTCACGAGCTCTGAGAAGACGTGTTTAATTGAGAATTTAGTTTTCAGCACATAGGAATAAAATACGTATAAGTGTACGTTTAAAAGTTCAACATGAAACTGATACAAAGCGCAGTATCTACTCCTCCAGTTTTCTAAAATTTGTGATACATTTACTTGACACTTTGTAATAAATTCAATAGATATGAAAGAAGCATATTGGCAAATCCCTATAGTAACAAAGCGATTTTTATATAAACTCCAATTTACAGTGTATTTTTTTCTCTTCTAGGCTTGTGCTCCAAGGTACGTGTGGTACACGAAGTACTTGAACAGGAAAGACCCAGTTGGTACCTGCTTTGTGGCTGACGGCAATTTCCAAAATGCTGAAGAATATTCCCCATGTCGGACAAGTGAGTATTTTAGTCAATTTGGTATTAATACTGTCGTCAAATTTAAATGTTGTTCTAAACAGTTATTAAATATTATTAAATGAAACCAACACATAAAAAAAAAACTAATTTGTGAATGTATATCTTTAACACTTGCCATCTAATAACCATTAATTTCCAGCTATATACAGTTACACTGATTAAAAACAAAATGTTTTTTGGTTGATTTCCTCATAAAAGTAAGCAATTCTAGCAGTGAGCACTATTTTTGAGATTAATATAAATAATATAAAGGTGCATGGTAAAAAATGTGTCAAAGAGTAAAGAAACAGAGTAACGGAAATTTAAATAAGATTGCTGAAGAAATGTTAAATAACCTCTAGTTCTAACAAACATTCCTTTCATGGTTATGATGGTATTTATTTAATTAATTAATTTGGATTCGACTAATATTGATTCGATTTAGAATTCATGTCCATGGTATTTAAGTGGTCGTTAAGACTAATATCTCACATAAATTCGGTTGTTCATATACTTAGATACGCAGTGAACATTACATCAAAATTCCAACCATTAATTTGAAGAAAAAAAAAATCTACTTCTGCGTCTTTTTTTATCAAGACCTGTCTCCCATTGAAAGTAAATCTGTGTGACATCTTAAAATCCAGCCCAGTCTCATAGTTCTGCTGAGGCGTGTCAGTGCGTGTCATAAGCGTACAAGTCGGAAAGACGTGTTACCATTTTCACGGTTTAGTTATTCTAATAAGTGTTAAAAATGGAATCATGTGCAGTTATTTGTGGCCAACCTGATAATCCGAATACAATTAATACTGGGCATTCAAATTTTCTTGCAGAAAATTAAACTTACATGTATGACGGATGTAACTAAAAAAGAAACTATTATTTGACTGGGAAGGTACTAAAATTTCTATTTAAAAATATGATTTAATTTTATTTTTACTTTCTATTAAAATATAAATATTACAGCTACACAATAAGTCCTGAAATTTTCGTTATGACAGTATCTCCAATGGTTTTTACATAATTATTTTTTTAATTTAAAGTTCCGAAAATGTTTATTGCAAAAAGTTGTTAAAATGAAAACTTTGAAAAACGGTTTAGTAGTCATTAGTAGCTTTTCACCTTCGAATTCTTTGAAACTTAACCGATCGACTTGAAATTTGGCAGATAGTTACAGAAAAGGTCAATGAGCATTTGTGACATAGCGCCGATTAACGTTTCCACCCTGTTGGGGATTGACACCCCTTCTCGGGGGTGTAAATTTTTTTTTACAAAAAAAATCGACAAAGAATCAAATTTTGAGCAAAAAATATTCGAAGATTTTTTTCGAGAAATCAATAGTTTTTTAGTTACTCACAATTGAAAACTTGGAATTTTGAGTGAAAAAAAAAAACACTTTTTCAAAGTATTTTTCGCGAATAACTCAAAAACTATGCATTTTATTTAAAAAAGTGCAATGAACAAAAATGTAGCTTATAAATAAATAAAGAAAATCGTTTTTTAAAAAGTGTTGTACGTCCTATACAAAGCGAAATATGGTTAGTGGAAGGGGACTTATTATGGGGGGAATACTCGAATTGATGTATTCAATGTCAAATAATGGAAAAAGGATTAATTTTATGTGTATAACGCTCCTGGAGTTTTTTGTAGTACTCAAAAAGACCTTCAAAATGAGCACTTATAAAAGTTAATTAGAGCAAAATTGAAGGAGTTACCGTCAAAAACAGATGGGTTGCTCATATTTTTTAAGGAAAAATGAACAGTAAACGCTGTACCATTTCCATCAGAATTAAAATTAATCGCAGACCCTTTACAATTAGTTTTGTTTTAGTGTTTTTCATACGATCCTGAAGATTTAGAATGCGTATTTTTTGAATAATATACGGTAAAAGTTGAAAACGTATTTTTCATTATTCAAAAAAAATTGCCTTATTTATATAATAACTCTGAAACTATGAAAGATATGTAAAAAATGATAGACAACAAAAATGTAGCTTTTTTTCAACAAATAGTTTTTTATTCCTATAGCATAAAAAATGAAGGAGATATCGCCGCTTGAAGTAGTGAAAAAACAACTTGTCTCGAGGCCTTCGATCCTTTCCCTTTAAAAAACGAAGGACTTAAAAGGTTTTATATGCAAACGATCTTATACCTCTTGAAATATCGATTATAATAAAAATATTTTACGTTAATATTGGTAATAAGTAAAATATTCTTTCATAAACAATATAAGGGAATTTTTAATTTAAATTATTGCACAATTATAGCATTCCAAGATTTAAAACGTAATTTTTTATAATTTTTTTAGCACAGGGATGATTTATGAGGGTTGAAAAGTGTTATGAGATACAAATTCTTTGATAAGCAATGAGGGAATTTTTATTTTAAATAATTGCACGGTTAAAGCATACCAAGCTTTTAAGAAGTAATTTTTTATCATTTTTGTCAACACAGGGGTGGTTTTTAGGGGTTGAAAGGGCAAAAATTATTTTATTAGCTAAAGGTAACTTTTATTTTAAAAAATTCCACGATTTAATCATTCCAAATCTTTAAAAAGTATTTTTTTATCATTATTTTTTGCATAGGGGTAGTTTTTAAGGGTTAAATAAAGGGTCGAAAAGATCAAATATATCATAAAACATGTTCGAGAGCATGGTACATTATTTAATCTTTGTGCTCGAACAAGATTTTTATCAATAAAATGCTTAAAACTTAATTTTTTCAATTTTTTTCACTTAGGGGTAGTTTTTACCCCTAAAAAACAAAAAGCGTCAATCGGGCTTATGTCACTTTTGAACTTGAGCCAAAGATGAGCCTTATTCTAAATTTTCATGCAAATCCATGCAGTGTCAAAGAATTCGAAGGTTTCAGCTGATTTTCAGCTTCAACGACTGTACTATTTAGTGTATTGGTTTTGATTAAAACATATGAACTCAAAAAATTCCATAATCAAGTGGAAAATGGGGTCCACTTGAAATGGTTTTGCTCATTATTAAATACATTTTACAGTCCATTATAATTACAATCGATATGTTACAACAATCAAAATCAGTCCAGTGTAATTTGTAACAAATATTCATTAGTTAAATTTGTATTTTTCAAGAAACGGTTAATTTCATTCGTCTTATTCAAGTCATTTTAATGTGAACTATCCCCACTATTTTTCCAAAAGGAACTCACCCCCTCCAGTTTTTTATAAGTATAAACAGGACACCCGGTATATTACCGCGAGTTGCTACTGTCGATCACCCTGTACAAAACTATACGTCGATCAATTCAGGGCACTCGGCGTCTTTGACAACTGAAAACGGATTTACTGCATTACGAGGAAATAATGAATTTTCTAATATAACCCTTTTTTTACACCGACGAAATGCTACTCTTTCCACGTACCTGTTTAGGGATTCCGCACCCGCCACTATTCCGCCGCACTGAATACGAAACAAATCACGACAGAGAGACCACTATTTACAAATTCAAACAGGCTACTTTATGTCTTTTTTAACACTTCTCCGCTCAAATCCAAATAATTATGATAAAGCACCCGACACACGTGCCCTTTGCGCTCATATGGCGCCCATATGTCCCTCAGTACGTACATCCGCGTCGAAAAAAAAAAACGTCTCGAACTTATTATATCAAATTATACACAGGATGGATGTCCGCTCCGATGGCACTTGCTGAAAATAAAGGAGTACGTGCCGGCAGAAAGGGAGGTCGTTAACGAAATTGCAAACAATGGGCGATTCTAGATTTATGGACGTTTCTATGTGTGCGGTTTTCGCGTGTCAATTTTCTTTTCGCGCGCCCGATGATTTATGAGGTGTCGGTGATGAATAATATTAATTTTATATGGGCGCACGATCGAAATGTTAATGGTGTTATTATGTTGGTAGGCGTGATATCGCACATCCTATCAGTTCATTTAAATAATATAGATGGCAATCGGGAAAAGAACATAAAATTTGTTGTTGTAAATGTACGTTTATCGAAAGATCAGTTAATTTCGTGAATCAAAATCTATTTGAGTCAAATATACATCGTGGTTAGTTAATAGGCACAAAAATACATTTTTTTTTTTTCAACAATTTCTCCATCAAAATAATTAATGCAAACGGAGCGCGGGAAAACGCACGGAAGCCATGTTGTGACGTCATACCATTAGTTTGCGACTCGACCGCAACTTGGCTGGGCAAAGATATACTTGTTACAAAAATAATAATATTTAAAACGAATAAACAATGCAACTTATACCTTTCTTGCACTATTGTATTATAGCACAGGATAAGTGCTATAAATAAAGCAATAAAATAAGTGATAAAGACACGTGGATATTATATTACAAAAAAAATATTAGATAAAAACGAAACGTCACAAATATATCCAATACCGTTAGGATAGGTTTGAAAGAGTTTTAAATTTCATAACTTCTAAGCAAAAATATAGTGTGTGTCACATTTAAAACAACCAAGTTATTGCTGTTTAAAGTTGAGAAAATTATCCAATAGTTTTTTGAACACCCTGTACAATACTAAATGACGACAAATATAATAATTTATAACTTCAAGGATCTAAAATACACTCTCCAAAGCTGGCTTCTTTAAAATTATTTTTTTATTGCAAATCTTAAATTTCTACGCTAAGCCTGCATTTTCACTAAAATTGAAATATCTCACAAACAATAAGTTCTAGGAATGCAGGACCTTTAATAAAGTTCACATATTTTTTTTACGGTGCTTTCAAAAATACAGTAAAATGGTTTTACTCAAAAATGGCTTTTTCGAAAAACATAAGAGATTAGTAATTTGTAGAAAATTGAAAGACGAATCCGAAAATATCATGGTTGTTGCCGTAAAGCAGTGGCGTACTGTTTTATATAGAAAAATATGCCACCGACACTCTGTATCTCCGCCACTGGATAATGTAAATTTTAAGAAAAGCCCTCAAATTTTGGATAATGTTTACATAAATACATGTGCCCAATTTCAAATTACTTCACTTAATAGTTTTATAGTTTATAAATTATTTAAAAAAATTTAAAATATTTTTTGAAGTTTAACACCCTGTATCTCTTTAACGAAACGTCCTAGATAAAAATTTTATAGGAAAGACACCCCTTAAAATTCACCAAAGAATACGAGGTTTCATTTTTGGTCACCATTTGTGAATCACCCTATTATATACTTTTTTAATTTACTAAAATATCGCGTCTTATCAAAATTATTCAAGGGTGGCAATTTTTTCAGTTTTCGAAAGTCAAAAAGAAATATATCAGACAGCCAGATGTTCCGCAATCAAATTTTTTCCAATTCAAAAACTCTCGTTAACGTAACTTTAGCAACTTTTTGTAATGTTTATCTGATCTAATGTTGTTGATACAAACGAGCAGCTGCTAATGCATTTTGTCTTGCTTCGCCGTAAACTATCCGTCGATTCTGCGCTATTTTGAACAACTGTACGACTGATATAAACGATAAACCCCAGTAATTAGAGGTCTGTTAAAACCACAGTAATACTGAAGAAATAAGCATTTGCCAGCGACTGAACGCTGTGGTTTTGAGTATCAAAGAAACCAGGACTACTATGACGCTTGTGTTTTCTAAAAATTGTTAGCTTTTTTATTTCTTTTGTTAAAATATTAGTTTATTTAAAATTTTTACCTATCTAATTTTAGATATGAGTTCAGATACCAAGTTTTATCTTTCTCCACATATAAATATTGTTTATAAATAAATAAATATTGAGCGTTACTGGTTTTCAAACCTGCGATTACCATAAAATGCGAAATCTAATACTTAAAAACTTAAAAACATGTCATGGAAAACCACGTAGAATCTATGAAATATTTTAAATTATTTACGATGGAACCTGTTTCAACAGCTGGGAGCAATACCAGAATTTAATGGTCTCCCGTAAATAAAACGGAACTTTAGAAGAGCAAAATTTAATATTTTCAGTTCAGTAATTGATACGCATTAAAAAAATTGTAAGTAATTTAACTTTAACTGAGAAAAATTTGTAAATCATGAAATACTTTTTGGTTATTGCAGAGGTGACAAAATAACAATTTTAGAACTGACATTTAAATAACAGCACAGCTTTGCTTTTATTTACCGCTTTTATCGTCTGTATTTGTGATTGTAAATACCTTTTCTAATAAGGCCTCCACATTATTATATTTACCACGTCCTTACCGTTAATGTAACAAATGTTTTTTTGTCGAACCGGAAAAGGAACATTTATTTGTTTGGATCCACAGGCATACGGTACCAAACGCCAAGCGTAATAGAGATTTTCGAAATAGTTTTATGATAGTAAAAATATTATACTCGGGTGTAGAAAGATGAGAGGCACTGCTTATGCTAGATTAAATATTTATAATATCGCATAACTAAGGAAATAACTAACATTGGTTTACTTTATAGTATGGTTGAATGCACATCATATATTAAAATTAACAATATTAGGCGAGAAGATAAAAAAATTGTGTGTGTAAAAAAGCTTTGTTATCATTTTCATTTATTTTATTGCTGTGGTTGGAAAATAAGTTCATCGTATACCTATATTACTATATTTTTTTCACAGAACTTTTGTCACCGCCGTTCTTGGTGGTGAAAATTCGAAATATTTGAAATTAATCAATTTTCTTGGCTGAAAACATACATAGGTATTGAATTGTCGAAACCGATAGAGTTGCGTTAACTAAATCTAGACAGGACATAGCTAATACAATGCGAAACATCGCCTTACTGTTAAAAATGTTGTCACCGCCGTTCTTGGGGATAAAATTTCGATATATTTGGAATTATTCAATTTTCTTGGCTGAAAACATACATAGGTATTGTATTTTTGAAACCGAGAGAGTTGCGTTAACTAAATTTGGACAGGACATAGTTAATACGATGCGAAACATCGTCTTAATGTTAAAAATGTTGTCACCGCCATTCTTGGTGGTGAAAATTCGACATATTTGGAATTAGTCAAATTTCGTGGCTGAAAACATACGTAAAATATTGAATTTTCGAAACCGAGAGAGATGCGCTAACCAAATTTGGACAGGGTGTAGCCAGTATAATGTGAAACTGTTGAAAATGTTATTACCGCCGTTCTTGGGGATAAAATTTCGATATTATTTGGAATTATTCAATTCTCGTGGCTGAAAACATACATACATACCTCGTAGACAAGATTTCTAACTGCTGATATTGCAACAATTTGCAAATTTGAACAGTTCTTGGTATGAAATTCCAGAACTTCAGTTAATTATTAAATTATTCGAGTACTATAAATGTTTTCGCTTAGAGCAGAACTTTGGCATACATAACTATAAAAATATAAAAAAGAGTTTTTTCCATAGTGAATTTATGTCAGGACAAATAGCAAACCAACTGCTTCAGGTTATCATGTTCAGATTTCATTAGTACATATCTCACATGAAAATCTCATAACTGTTGCTTGTAAATTGTAACCGCGATGGAGAAAATGTTATAAACAATGGAACCAATCTTAAACAAGCACATGAACAATATTTTCATTAATAATACACAATATACAATAATATTCAACAGAAGATATATACCCAGTGCATCTATAACTATACAAAAAAAAATATTTGTTTTTTAAATTTTGTATTATATACAATGATTACATTAATTAAAGTTCAAAAAACACCCATAACTATAGGAAGGAAATAATACAGTCTTGAAATATAAGATACAGGTTCTCTTACGGTGAATTTTGGGCACTGGGGTTTTCGAAGGTGCTCTCTTGAAACAAAATAATGCCATTGTTGTACCGCTTCCGGTTATACCGAGATCCTTTGTTACAGTTATATTAAAAATTGTTTAATTTTACACAGTACATAAAACGTTATTAAGTTTTACTGCGATAAAAGTTCCTACTGTACAAAGCTTTTTGCCTGTACCCAACATGGGGTTGTATGATTTTACTTAACATTGATCGCTTTTTTACGAAAAAATCGTGTTGAAATGGAAAACCCTTCGTACCTTAACACCATAGAATCCTATGTTTACCTCCTTCTAGTCTAAATATGAGCTTCTGGATATATTAACTGCGTGTATTTATAACTCGAATTAGTCACTTACCTAAACAGGACCGAGATTAGAAGCAAGAGGGTGCTGACACATACTGTTTGTTGCTTCTTTCTGCCACGTTCTCAGCTACCTATTGTAGATCTAGGGCAGCTGATTCGTTTACATTAAGTAACGCTTTTTTTATTTATTTCAGTGAACTGGGGTTACCATCGGCAGGGGTTCTGTCAAGCTGGATTCAGCGCGGCGATAAGCGGAGTAAGTATATTTTTGTTTGTGGTGATAAATTTTTGTTTTTCAGCTGTTCTTAAAGTATTTGTTGTCTTTGTTAGGTCTCAGAACCAACTTGTTTTATTTTAATAGAGTTTTAAGTGATTAATATCAAATATCCGTTCTGCGGACGCAGCGTTTTGTCTACATTCATCGCATACCACCGCGATTGCTACAATTATGTGACGTTACAGTACAGTGTTAACCATTAATAATACTTGATTACTACAATTTTAGGAGTAGTAGTACCAAAACACAGAAACTTCTAGAAATTCAAGTTGTTCAAAGGTTTTCGAGTAACGTTAAATATAATGCGCCTTCCGAAATAATAGACCAGAAACGTTTTAAGTGCGCATCGGGTCGCCGAGAGATTTATTCGAAATTTTAGTTTATTGTTTGCCGGGAGATTTTTTTTTATCTACGAAACTCTGTTTGGATCGGGGCTTTTAAAACTAATTTTATAGTGGATGATGAAAAAGAGAGGAAGCACTTAGGTGCGGTATTCGTAATTTATAAGTGCCTCGGTGTTAACAGCTGCTTAACGAGATAAAAAAAGAAATGATACGTCGGATGGATAGCGTTTTGTGGTTTTATTAATCCATTAGAGCTCATCTTCGGTGAGCATTGTTCTTAGGTCAGTACGTTCAGGACCGTCTGTAGGTTGAATTGCTCATGACGCTAGAATAAAAAAAAATTACGTTAAATAAAGTAGAAGTGTAGACGGATTTTTGCTTTTTCTTTCGCTGAGTTGGACTTAGTCCAGTCACTGAACCATTTTGGCTACCAATTTTTTCGGATGGACTGGATTGACGTGAAATTTGAACTGTAGCTAGGGAATAGCCCAAGAAACAAAAGTTATATAGTGCCGATGTGTGCTTTTACCCTAGGGGTGGATGCCACCCCTTCTGAAGGGTGGACATTTTTTTATTAAAAATAACCTTACGATTCGATAAAGGGACGAATTCTAAGCAAAAAATGTTCTATAAGAATTTTTTGTACAGTCAATACTTTTTGAGTTATTTGCGCCTAAACATGTTCGTTTTTAGCCCAAAAAATGCATGTTTTTGAGCCATTTTTCGCGAATATCTCAAAAACTACAAGTTTTATCAAAAAAATGATCATAAGCAAAAATGAAGGTAATTAAATAGCAAAGAGATTGCTTTTTTTATTTTTGTAGGTGGTATAGAACCCGAGTTATGACTCCCAGAAGTTGAAGTCAATTTCGAAGATAGCTATAATCGAAACGTTCAACGTCCTGTAGCGGAAAAATTAAAGGTTTTTCGAGGAAAACTTATATAACACTTATTAAAGTTCTTGAAAAGACCTTTAAATTGAGTGGTGGTAAAAGTCGTTAGCATGAAAACTAATGAAGTTACAATCAAAATAAAATGATTGTCTTGATTTTTGAGAAAAAAAATCGGTATTAAAATTAATGACTTGACGGAAAAAAAATTAAACGTATTCCTTCTGCAATTTACTTTATTTATGTATTAACAGTAGATTCTGGGAATTTGAACGATTTTAGAAGCCAAAATTTAAAAAAAAATTTCATTTACTTTTGAATAAAATTTTTAAATTTTTTAAAAAATCGCCTTTTTTCAAAATATTTCAAAAACTAACAAAGTTATAAAAAAATGATAGAATAAGAAATTGTAGGTTTTTTCTTACTGAACAATTTTCTTTTTTTTAATTTTTGTAGGACAAAATTTGACTGAGTTATGAACGTTAGAAGCTCAAAACTAAGCTCCAAGACTGCCTTTGCTGAGCCCTTTTAGTTTACAAATCTAAAAAACGAAGGGCTCAAAAAAACTGCAAATCACAGAACTTAAAGTGCTTTAAATTCCCTACAAAATGGTTTTTTGAGTAAATTCATAACTTTAAAATTACAAAAGTTATGGTAAAAAAATTAATCGCATTTTTTCGGAAAAATTTTCGGTGAGGGTAAATTATCATCAGCTTGGTGTATTTTGAAGCACTTGTGACCTGATTTGAGTAAGTATTTTAATAATATACATACACACACGTATCCATTTATAATGTATATATATAATTTGATATTGATTTAATAAAAAAATATTAATAAGTTCAATAAAATTTAAAAAAAATAATTATATCAACATACATATAATTAAAAAAAAAATGTATAAGGGGTAGGGTTTTTTATGAGGGGTAGTAGGTCTCCCATAAGGGTTTTTTGGTTGGCTGAAAAGTTGCAATATATCATAGATCATTTGAAAACCAATAAAAAGTTTATAATTCAACACATATGCATACCATTAAAACATCTCAAGCTTTCAATATTTTATTTTATTATAAGGGCTGGTTTTTAAGGGTGGCAACTTTGTAATGAGTCGTAAGCTTTCTAATGAATAACAAAAGAAATGCAATGCATTGTGAATACACCAAAAGAATATTTTAACCAGTTAAAAACTTTTTTTTTAATTTTTTGGCCATGGAAGGTTAGTTTTTAAGGATTTTTAAGGGTTAAAAAGTAATTAAATTTGAAACGCGTCAATTTTTATTTTCAATGGGGCGTATTACAAAGAGGATTGTTAATTTTTTTAATTATGTGAGGGGTTGCAGCAACTTTTTTTTAAATGCAATATGCAAATTTTAGTAAACTCAAGACTCAAAGCAGTGTGTTTTCCATACGGTATCACATAAATTACATGAAGTGACAAATCTCCTCCGAGTATGTGTCTTGCTATCAGGAATTTGAAATGATGTATTCGATTTATAGATTCTTCGCCATTTTTAGTACCAAAAGCGATACATTAGACCGACCTATTTTCTACTTTAGTTGGCATTGGCATAATTCTACAGAAGTGTATAGGTATATTTAACACAGCTAATAAAAGACGTGTTTGTTTAAACTTTGTGGTATTGGAAACGTTTAACCAATAAATTGTTTGCAGACTTAGTAAATATTTGCATTTGTTTTCGGCTTAAAATGTAGATATTATTTACATTCGCATAGTTATTCGTTTTTCTGTATAAATTTATGTGATATAACTAAGTTGTGTTCGTATTAGCCCTAAATAAAAATAACTACCGAGATGCTTAGTCCCCTTCTGGTGACTATCAGAGGAAAATAAGATTCTGAATGTCAGATAGCAAGCAATACAGTCTTACACCTAACGGGTTAGGTACCAACAGAATTAAAACTCGAGATGACTAAACAGTAAACGTAAAGATGTTACCGATGACATAATGATACTCAAAGGTATACAGTATGTCAGCAGATTGAGTTTAGGACAAACGGACCAAAAAGTGAAAGATACGAAGAAAAGGCTTTCTTGATAAAAGTTTTTGCTTGTTTAGAAAATACGAATCACCATGACGAACTTCAATTTTGTTATACAGGGTGGGTCAAAAACACAAAAATGTTATTTTGCGTAAGAGTAAACATACCTTAAAGGGATTCTCGATAAAAGTTTTCGCTTGAAAAATAAATAAGAGCCACATTATCAAAAAATTAATTTTTTTATACCGGGAACGAAGTACAAAACTAAAATACGCCTTATTTGAGTGTAATTTTTAAATAATGCGAACATAATTACAACAATTAAGCTAAAAAAAAGTGAACAAAGCAATATGATGAAGATATCAAATTTCAAAAACACCACCCCCACATTTTTCTAATTACTTCTTTAGATATCTGAAGGAATTTCTGATTTCTTCCTGGAATATTGAACGGGCAGCCTGGGTAATTCTGCCTTTGAGCATTTCAATATTATTTGGTATTGGAAGTAGCATAAACAATTTGTTTTCAACGGCCCCATAGAAACATATCGGCCATAGTTAAGTCAGGGTTCCTATACGCTATTGATTATGTCATATGGTATGGAACTACAACGTTGATGGGTTTTTATTGCATGAATCGTTCAAATGGTTATTTAGAATGAAAAAACCGCGGAGTGCTATTAAATTAGAAGGTGGAAATTGGAAATAGGGGAGAAAATGCACCCCCTTCAGTTTTTTAATTGTAGCTCAAAAACGAAGCAAAATTTCGCTATAGTTCACAAAAATTATTTAGAGAATTGAATTTCCCATCGAAATAGCTTATTTAAAAAAAAATTAAAAGGAAAATTTAATGCAAAATAATCGTTAATAAACAATTTGAAAAAAAGCAAAAAATTCGATTTTCTGATTTTTTTGCCTCTAGTTTTTTTTGAGTAAAGATAGGTATAGGCTTTGCTTCATAGAAAAAAAAGTAGATAACATTTCCTTCAAAACAAGAGGTTGTAGAGTATTTTTGCGTTTCCCCTTATACGTTTTAATTCTCATTTTTTTTTTGCAAAAAAGGAAGGAAATAAGACGTTCGAGGATTTTCATCACATGACTTGTTCGAAGGGTAATTAAAAATGAAAAAACCGCGGGGTACTATTAAATTAGTGGGTTGAAATTGAATATTGATGTGAAAACCCACTTTTGCAGTTTTTTAAATATAGCACGAAAACGAAGCAGAATTTCGGTATAGTTCATAGGAAAAATTTTGTAGAGAATTGAATTTCTCATCGAAATGGCTTATTTAAAAAATGTAAAAGGAAAATTGTATGCAAAAAATCGTTAATAAACGATTTTAAAGAAAGCAAAAAATGAGATTTTTTGATTTTTTTACTTTTTTAATCAAATAATTTAGTAAAAACTTGAGAATTTAAGTACAATAAAGTTTATTAATAATGTATATGGGGCGTTCCACGCCAAATCGGACGGTTCGAAAAATTTAAATTTTCGATTTCCTTAATTTTTTTATATTTTTTAGTACCCCTCAAAAAAGCCTTTCTGGTAAATTTTCAGATTTTTTTGATTACTTGTTCAAAAGATATAAAATTTTCAAAAAAACGCTTTTTTTGGTTTTTTGATCATAACTTTCTTAATAATGGTCCAAATTAAAGCTTTTTTTATAAAAATATTTGTTTTTAGATGGCCTTTACAGATAAAAATACAAAAGAAATATTCAAAGTGTTTTTGATTAAGATTTTTAA